GAGAAGCCATAGTGACATCAGGAATTATTTCCTGTACTTTTGGCAGGGAATCTTTTTTTTTTTTTTTTTTTTTTTTTTTTTTTTTTTTTTTTTTTGGTTAGCCAACTGAGGTCATGAGTTCAATTCCCAGTACCAAAAAAAAAACAAAAAAAAAAAAAAAAAAAAAACAGGAACATTTCATGGTAACATAGGAATAGAAAATTAGGGAAAATAGAAGGAAAACTCCAAAATATCTATATTATAGAGTATTAAAAAAAGTTTTTCATTGAGATTATTTGTTCCCCCTTGCATCAAACACATTTATCTCATCATTACTGCCATTTTCAAAGCAGATCTGGAAGTGCTTTTTCCATGTCTTTACAGGGTCTGATCAAAAACAAGGTGAAAAAGGTGAATGGTGGTATCAAATATCATTCAACATATAAAAACGTTATGGTATGTCCTTATCTACCTTATTCACCAGATCTAGTACCATGTAACTTCTAGCTCCTCTCCAAAATCCAATGACCATGAAAGATAGAAATTTTGCATCAATCTGGGACATATAGGCAGGCATCACAGTGCAACTAAAGATATTCACGAAAAACAACTTTCTAAAACTGCTTCAAAATTGGCAAGAACAATGGGTGTGTTCAAAGTAAAGGGAACTATTTAGAAGGGAGTTAATGGTAATGTGTTTTTTACTATAATAATTTTCAGAATTAAAAGATACACTATATCTTTTGGTACAACTTGTATATATTTTGGGAGTTTTTATATATTTGGGAGTTTTTTGTTGTTTGTTTTACCACTTGCCATAAGAAATCCCTGAGTACATTTTCTAAGTATGAGCTAAAAGACATTTTAGTGACAATACATAACAAATAGCTTTTACAAAAATTAATTAGAAAAGTAACTAAACAAATGGAACTTCAATTTCAAAACCATTTCTTCAAGAAGTGTAGAATTTGATTTCCAGTTTTACCACATTATACATCAAATATGTATCTGGCAATAATTTAAATAACAAATTACAGGCATACAAAGAAACAGCAAAGAATGGCCCATAAAAAGAAACAAAATAAACTGACAGACTATCCATGGTAGATTCCAGATACAGTATTCGGCTTACCAGGCAATAATTTTAAAACAACTATCATAAAGACTGTCAGACAAATCAATAAATGTAATACGCCATATTAACAAAACCAAGGATAAAAACCATATGACCATCTCAACAGATGCAGAAAAAGCACTGGACAAGGCCCAACAACCATTCATGATAAAAAAAAAAAAAAAAAAAAACAGAAAATTGGACTAAAAAGTCTTTATCTCAATCTGATAAGAGCCATCTATGACAAACCGTCTTGGTTACTTTTCTCTCCTTGCTGGGACAAAATATCTGACACCCAGAGTTAAGGAAGAAAATGTTTATTTAGCTCACAGTCTATGGAGGCTTCAGTCTATACTCAGCTGGCTCCAAGGCAGAGTGGCACATGGCACAGGGCAGCCATTCACAGTGGCAGAAAATAGCAAAAGGCCACAAGAGCAAAAAGGAAGGAGTGGCTTCAAGCAGCCTCTTTCTCTCCCTTACATATGCAAACTATCTGCCCCAGGGTGGTGTAGCACTCACACCCATAATCCCAGCAATGGACTATGGATCAATCAAATATCTAAAAGCTCCACCCATGACTGCATGAGGATTTGAGAGGACATGCAGACACAAAGCATAACACAAACCAAAAGCCAATATCATGCTAAGGGGTCAAAAACTTGAAAATGTTCTAAAATCAGAAACTAGACAAGGTTGTCCACTATCACCACTGCTATTCAATATAGTTCAATTAGACAAGAGAAAAGAGCAATATAGAGCAATTAGACAAGAGGAAAAAATGAAATGAATAAAGGTAGGAAAGGAAGAAGTTAAATTGGCTTCATTTGCAGCTGACATGATACTCTACATAGAAGACCCCCAAAAACTCCACGAAGATTAAATAATCAGATTCATTCACACAGCTGGATACAAAGTCGACCCTGAAAAATCAGTAGCATTCCTATATACAAATAAAAAACTCACTGAGAGAGAAATTAAGGAAACCACATCTTTCACAGTGGCACCAGGAAAACAAATGAAATACTTAGGAATCAATCTAACAGGAAAGAAAAGATCTCTACAATTAAAACTACAGTACTCTGAAAAAGGAGACTGAAGAAGATATCAGAAAATGGAAAGATATCCCTTGCTCAGGGGTAGGAAGAACCAATGCCATATAAATGGCCATACTCCCAAAATTGTTGTACAGATGAAATGCAATCCTAATCAAAACACCATTAGCATACCTCA